AGTATTGTCAGATATAATTTCCAAAGGAACAATATTTTGATTTTCAATGTTTAAACTTTTACTTTTTTAAAGCTTTTTCTATTATAGTAGAACCACCTGTGTGCAAGTCGTCCACATAAAAGCCCCGTAAAATGATAGAAGATATGTCGGGAAAATTGATTGCTTACATATGTGTCACTTCTTGAACACATCTCATCATCATCATCAGTGGCATTACAGCTCGATATGAGTCAAAGCCTTCTTCAGAACAGTCTTACATTCGCCCCTGTCTCTGGCAACTCTTCTCCATGCTTTAACTCCGGTGGATTTTAGATCATCCTCTATGTTATCTTGATACCTAAGTTTTGGTCTTCCTCTGGATCGTCTTCCCACTGGTCTTCTTCGGTCGAAAATTTTTCTGATCGTTGCATCCTCATCTCGCCTAATTACATGTCCTATCCATCGAAGGCGTGAAAATTTAATACATTTTACAATGTCAGGTTTGTAGCATTTGTAATTTCATTGATTCTTTGGTATATATTGAAATCCCCCCGTATACGTAATATATTGAAATCCCCTCATATATGTTTGAAAAATCGCAGAATATTTTTTAATATATTTCAGTTTCTTATTTGTACGTATTAAAACACCGAATTCTTTTAATTCCTCTTAGCGTTGCCAAGTAATATAAACCATCTTAGAGTTGTTTATTTATTTTGCAGCTGCGTATTTTTCTTCGATATTATTCTTTGATTTAAGCCGCCCGAAGTACTGCGTTTTCAAATTAATAATCTACGTCTTAATTTTCGTTGTGTTTTGTTTATTTAGTTTATCAAGTTATGTGAACGAATTTTTAAGATAATTTCGTCATTCTTACTTGGGTCGCTGTAGGCTCAGGTAGGGATCCAAATTCATCCGTCGAATTTGTAGTTTTCTCTTTTTGGCCCCTTTTTATGGAAATATGTAGCAGTCAAAAGTAAATAGTGAAGTATGTCTAGTTACAGAGGAGGTTAAAAAAGTATTTAAGAGATTTGTGTCGCCTGCAGCAATTCTGATGTTCCAGTTTGCTTCTAGTTGAAGTGCTTCTTCAATCTCGCTGTTTCTGCTTTGTTCCTGAAGCAGTTTGTTTAGTTAAAGTTATAGTTCCAGAATTCTAGTGTAAAACCCAGTGCTGTCCAGATAACTTTTGTGTAAATATTTCAAGTAAAGTAGACATTTTTTTAATAATATAATTGCTTTCATTAAAATTTAAAGGATTTGTAATAATTAATAAATTATAAAATTTTAGGATTCGACTTTAGCTGTTAATTTGTGTGTTCAGTTTTTTTTTTAATTTATTGTTAACTTATGACAGCTCGTTTTATTATTTTTTGATTTTAGTTTGTTTTATTTTTAAAGAAGGTTAACCTCCATGCAATTTTGTAAGTTTTGTAGCAACAGAGTTTGTAAACGGCTAGGACACATATAAGTTGTTTTGTTATTCTTGTTCTCTGCAACTATTAATCTATATGTAAATTTGTGCCATTATTTTTATAACTGTTTGTGGTAAGACATAATAAATGTTAAATTTTGTTTTCTTAACATTTTGTTTATTCTTTTTTAACTAACCCTTTTTTGAGTTTCCATTTGAAAAAGATATGTTTTTTATGTTTAATAATTATTTCTCTAGTTACAAAGTTTCTCTGTCGTAATGGTTATAATTAGGCACCTCGAAGTGCCGACCTATATTAAATTACTAGAGGTATTTCCTGTTTCTTTTTGTTTTGTTTAACCCAAGAAATTCATGACTCTTCATTTCATTTTTTTGTAGTTGCCCCAATCCAATCCCCTTATCTTTTACTTATCCACGATCCCAGCTCTCCTAACAAACCCTGAGTGCCATTGGCACAAGTAGCGTTAATTTTGCTTGCCCTATCTTCACTCCCATAATTTCTGTCTCCAATTTTCTACCCCTTATATTAATACCCCATGTGGTAGGCTAAATATATTCGTTACAGGTTCCCCAAAACTTCTGTATAACTCTTGAACACATCTAGTGGCAAGAAAACTAGCAGAAGCACTAGCAGTACAGTAAGTTGCGGTATTTAAGGTATAAGTTTCGAGAGAGTGTGTGTGATCAGATCGCCATATGATGTTTTATATGGATCGTTCTTCATCCTTTATGAGTATTTGTCGATATATCTTTTCTATGTCGGCTATTAGTACAAGACTGTGTTTACGAAAACGTGTGATGATAGTGAAAATATCATCTTGCAAATTAGGTCCAACCATAAGAATGTTGTTCAGGGAAAAACCTGTATCTGTTTTGGATGTGAATCGACCTGAGGTAATCCATCCAAGTTTAGTTTTTTGAAATATTAGTTGTCCAGGTGAGAATTTAATCTATCCAATACAAATTAATGTCTGCAACGATAAGAAGATCAATAGTAGATGAAATGTTTAAGTCTGGGTCGGCCAGAGTAACGATAAAAGGAATATTTAGTGTGTTCTTATCAAATGTGACAGAAGGTAAATTTCCTGCAATTGGAAGTACTAAGCAAGAAATTACTTGATAAAAAAAGTTTAAAGTTCTGGATTTAAATTTGACTAATGTTCTCCAGCTTACGATAGAATTTGTTTAGTTTATACCAGAAATAGAAAAATTTGTTTTAGTTGTAGGCAACATTAGAAGATTATAGCGCTGGTAAATGAAATTACTTTCCGAGCCGTTATCTAAAAATGAGCCTCGTATTCATTACCTGAGATGTCAAAGATGTTGGTAGAGAGGATAAATTTATTACCAAACTTTCCACATTTTAGAGACCCGTACTTGAATACCGGATTGCTCCAAAATATTTTAGGACCATTGAAGCAATAAAACACTTGCAAACACTTTTTTCCTGTTATTTATTGATAGTGAACTTAAGGTCTGATTCAATACATTGATAATGATCGCAATTCTAATGGCGAAAAAAAAAGAAGAGAAAGAGAAAGAAGAAAAAAGATACAAATGGCATTAGCTTTGCTGTAAGGGGAATAAGAAGGATACAGAATATTCAAAGAAAAAAAACTGGTATAGGACTAAACACAAAACACCGGTTCTACACGTTAACGCATTAACTGTACTTTTTACTGGAGCGCCAAAACACCGAGGTGTTCACAACGGTAAGGGGACGGAAAATATGCGGGAGCCGGTCGCAGATACACTAATAGGAAAATTGAGCGCACAAGTTGCTAAATTAACTACGATTAATTACAATATTATAAATAAGGTTGTTTTACAACACACTGCCCTCCGTTGAAGTACTAGCTTTAACATTATCTTTGTCTTCTTTTTTTATGTAGACATGACTCTTGTCTGTTTTTTCAATGTGCTCCCAGTAAGTTGTTGTTCCATCGTTTACGTGGTCTTCCTACTGATCATCTTTCTACTCTATTTGTTGTCATTCGGCTTATGATCGTTCCATTCTTCTCTTTTATTTCTTACCCAGTCCTTGATGTTCTCCACCTAGCATCTACGTCGTATATCTGAACTTTTAACTCTGTCCCATAGTATTTTATTGTCAATCTTTTTAAGTGTTTTCATCTCTGCTGTCTCATTTTTCTCTTCTCTGTGTCAGGTCGTGTTTCTGCCGCGTATGTCAGAAACATTATAAAAAACATTAAAAAAACATAGAAAACAATTTAAATAATAGTAAACAAATTCATATAACACCATATGAGTAAAAATATTAACATAATCCTTCACTAGGAACGGGGCACAATTTTGTTATGCATTTGAAAATCCCATCCTTAGTTTTAACCGATGCAAATCTTACTCAGAATAATGCTCCAAGAACTCCATACTGCCACAACAAGAGTTGGTCTTAAAATAAATTTTAACACAATTTATGACAAATTTAGTTCACAACAAAAACATCTCAGTAGAAGACAAAGATACTGAGCCAGTTGACTCCTATAAATACTTGGGACACGATATCAGAATAAGTCGAGACAACCAAACAATCTAGCTAAAAAGAAGAATAAACCTCGCTTGGGCTGCATTTGGAAAGATGAAGGATATTTTTAGGTCTAAGATTCCAATGTGTTTGAAAAGAAATGCATTTAATCAGTGTCTTTTGCCAGTGATGACCTACGCCGCAGAAACCCTAATACTCACAAGAACAAGAGTGAGTAAACTACAAGTTGCGAAAAGGCCAATGAAGAGAATAATGTTAGGGATTTATTTACGTGATAGAATACCCAATGCTACTATACGCAAAAGATCAGGAGTAGTGGACGTTATTAAAAGGATAACAACACTAAAGTGGAACTGGGCAGGTCATGTAGCAAGATCAGTTGATGACCGGTGGACAAAAAGAATTTTGGAATGGAGACCCCGAATACAAGCTAACAGAAATAGAGGTCGACCCCCAACGAGGTAGTAAGCGTAACAACAAAAAGTAAGAAAATATTTCTGAGCAAAGGTTTACACATTGAAATATAAAAAGTACAGCTGTCGCCAAAAACACCTATTTTCTGGTTATACCTGAACCTGCAAGATTTGAGGTAATAATGTTTCTGTTAAATATTATAGTTATATGGGGTTAAGTGACCATTGATTGTAATAAAAATTACTTTGTTAATCACGTTTGACGTTTCGATTTACGCTCCAGAAAGGGTTTTCAAAAAAGATATTTTAAAAAATTGTGCGAAAAGTAAAACCAATGACCAAATTACCAACTTGTTGGTTACACTTTTTGCTCAATTTTTTTAAATATCTCTTGTGAAAACGATTTCCAGAGTGGAAATCGAAACGTTAAATATTAGTTAGTTAGAAATTTTCATTACAATAAATTGTGGCGTAACCCTGAATAAACATACTATTTAAATTGGACATGCTACAAAAAAAATAGTTTCAGAACCTTTTTAAATAATTTTATCAAGAATAAGTACCTATCGAGTGAATATTGTCTGTAAAGTTTTGGAAAATATTTAAGAAATCAGAATGTCTATGAACTTATTGAACACTACGTTTCTAAATTATATCATAGGTTTCTCACCGTTCTTGCAGACATCAACTGTAAAATGTTTGGAAAATAGGACATTAAATCATCTGGCCTGACAGCCGCCGAAAATTTTGGAATGACATCACCAGCCGATTCCAGCAAGAGTTCGTCTTGTTCAGCTTCGACATCATCATCATTATTTTCAGTTTGACCAGCTAAATCCGTATCCTGGCACATAGTCTAAAGCATGGAAGTTAAAATCACAGCATGCAAAACAAAAAAGATAAAAGGGCAAATTAGATATAAAAAATAGTATAATAAAGAAGTTATCACTAGGACAAAAAATTTTCATTTTGTAATTAAAAAATTTAATTTTTGTATATTAAAAAATAGTGTCTTTGAAACATAACTTATTAAACAAGTAAAATTAAACAAAGCTAGATACACGAATCTATAACTAAGTTGATTGGAGTTTCTTGAAACTCGTGTGTTTCTAATAAACGTTTAGGCAAATTTTCTTTCTTTTCTTTAGAAAAGTAAAAAATTAAAAGTATAGCTGTCAATAAAAGATAATAAAACAAACAGAAAAATAAAAGATGGATTCTAAAATTCGATTCGTAAAGTGTTTCTAACGTCAAAATTAATCATAAACGAGGGCTATGATATATCATTTATGTGAAATAATTACATGATGTAAACTCCGATTTTAAAACATTTATGTAAATTTTTTTAAATCGGTATGATGTAAGAACTACGTATAACCGGTTGCCTACCTTGATATGTAATATATCTTACGTAAATGTAATTTTTAAGCTTTCTAAAATTACGTGCCGTTTTCGCTCTTAGTTAGGTCACAAAATAATAAACAATCAGAATGCCCATTGCTTAAAAAAATAAGACCGCGCAGACGGAATCAGCCATATTTTAAACGGAACCAGTACTGTTCAGTGACATTTTATCTGGTGTGCATAGGCAAATTAACCCGGTTTAATTTATTTACGACAACTACAGACATAATATGCAGTATTCGTAGTTTTTTTCGTAGTATTTTAGTTGCAGAATAGATTAAATTATTTCAAATGTACTAAATTATTAATCTCTAAAAATTTAAATGGCAGTTCTGTCGTAGCTTGTCACAAATTTCTCAATTCGAGTCTATGTTTCCGTTTAAAACATGCCGTTCGCGTGCTGACAAACTTCAAAGGCGGCATCTGAGAGTGGGAATTCTGATTGTTATTTATTCTGTGGTACAGTTATTAACTTTGTTTGTTTATATTAGTTTCAATTATGTCGAGTTACGTTTGGTCAGATGTTTTAGTCACAAGGGAATGTTGGGAAGATAGATGACGTAATTTTCTACTACGGCACTTCAATTTCCAGTTTCCAACTTATTTATTATTATTAGTTTCGACTAGGTTGGGTTAAGTTTGGTCAGGTTATGTTTTATGCCTCCACTACACATCGGTAGACGCGTCTACGGACGCATCTGCAGATGTATCAGCACAAGCTGACCACACATCTGGACACATATGTAAATCGTTCAGTCTATGTTAATTCCCGGGAGACGCAATATCTAAGCGAGCATTAAAAAATGGAAAGGCGTTAGACGTCTGCACCGAAACCCTTTGATCTGTGCCAAAAAAATAAATGTGCTAAGATAACAATCGGATATCTTGCAGACGCATCCGCGGACGTCATATATAAATAACAGATGATAAAATTAGCCCATCTACACATCTCCAGATGCATACGTAGATGTTGTCATTAGAGGAGCCATTAGTCAATAAAATGTTGAGAATTTGGGAATTATTTCAAATTATTATTTATTATTATTTCAAATATATATTTTTTACGTGTTCATTCCGTAAAAAGCAATTATAAATGTGGCAACATTGTGAATGTATATAAAATTCCAATTATTACTAAGATGAGCGGGAGTTCTTTCTACAATTAGAATAAATTATAGTTTTATCATTTTTAAAAAATGGATTTCCGGTTTACTGAATTTTTATCGAAGCCATTCTTTTAGCTTTTTACAATTGTAAAAAAAATAACAAATGCGTTTACAAAATAACATAACCTAACTAAGAGCGAAATAGCACGTAATTTTAAACAGGTTAAAAATTACATTTACATTAGGTAAATTACATATCAACTTTTTGTTATACGTAATATATACTTTATACTTTTGATAATTTAGATTTTGGAGCAGATACAACAATGAAATAGAGACTCTCTTCGGGAAAGGAAACATTGTAAGATACATAAAAGCCAATAGATTAAGATGGGCAGGCCACGTGGTACGGAGTGATGACGACAGACTGATTAGCAATGTGTTTTGGGAAAGACCAGATGGTAAAAGATCGACAGGAAGGCCTAGAAAAAGGTGGAAAGACGCAGTCAGGGAAGACCTAGAGAAGATGGAAGTAAGGCCATGGGAAATAATAGCACAGGATCGGAATCAATGGAAGGCAATAGTAAACGCGGCAAAAACTCACGAAGAGTTGTAAAAGCCAATGATGATGATGTAGATGACTTTTGATAATTTGATAATTGCTAATTGCTAAATGCCAATTGCCAATTGCCAATTGCCAATTGCCAATTGCCAATTGCCAATTGCCAATTGCCAATTGCCAATTGCCAATTGCCAATTGCCAATTGCCAATTGCCAATTGCCAATTGCCAATTGCCAATTGCCAATTGCTAATTGCTAATTGCTAATTGCTAATTGCTAATTGATAATTGATAATTGATAATTGATAATTGATAATTGATAATTGATAATTGATAATTGATAATTGATAATTGATAATTGATAATTGATAATTGATAATTGATAATTGATAATTGATAATTGATAATTGATAATTGATAATTGATAATTGATAATTGATAATTGATAATTGATAATTGATAATTGATAATTGATAATTGATAATTGATAATTGATAATTGATAATTGATAATTGATAATTGATAATTGATAATTGATAATTGATCATTGATCATTGATCATTGATCATTGATCATTGATCATTGATCATTGATCATTGATAATTGATAATTGATAATTGATAATTGATAATTGATAATTGATAATTGATAATTGATAATTGATAATTGATAATTGATAATTGATAATTGATAATTGATAATTGATAATTGATAATTGATAATTGATAATTGATAATTGATAATTGATAATTGATAATTGATAATTGATAATTGATAATTGATAATTGATAATTGATAATGATAATTGATAATTGATAATTGATAATTGATAATTGATAATTGATAATTGATAATTGATAATTGATAATTGATAATTGATAATTGATAATTGATAATTGATAATTGATAATTGATAATTGATAATTGATAATTGATAATTGATAATTGATAATTGATAATTGATAATTGATAATTGATAATTGATATGAATTGATAATTGATAATTGATAATTGATAATTGATAATTGATAATTGATAATTGATATTGATAATTGATAATTGATAATTGATAATTGATAATTGATAATTGATAATTGAAATTGATAATTGATAATTGATAATTGATAATTGATAATTGATAATTGATAATTGATAATTGATAATTGATAATTGATAATTGATAATTGATAATTGATAATTGATAATTGATAATTGATAATTGATAATTGATAATTGATAATTGATAATTGATAATTGATAATTGATAATTGATAATTGATAATTGATAATTGATAATTGATAATTGATAATTGATAATTGATAATTGATAATTGATAATTGATAATTGATAATTGATAATTGATAATTGATAATTGATAATTGATAATTGATAATTGATAATTGATAATTGATAATTGATAATTGATAATTGATAATTGATAATTGATAATTGATAATTGATAATTGATAATTGATAATTGATAATTGATAATTGATAATTGATAATTGATAATTGATAATTGATAATTGATAATTGATAATTGATAATTGATAATTGATAATTGACATAGCCAAGCACCAATGACAAATCCAATTGCACCAAGCACCAAGCACCAATGCACAAATCACTCAATGCACACCAATCACCAAGCACATGCACCAATCACACAATCACCAATGCACCATCCCAATCACAATCACAAGCACCATCACCAAATCACCAATCACCAATCACCAATCACCAATCACCAATCACAATCACAATCACCAATCACAATGAGCACCAAGCACATCACAATCCACTCAATCACAAACACAATCACACAATCACCAATCACCAATCCAACCAATCACAATCACAATCACCAAATCAGCAATCACCAATCATCAAATCCAATGCACCAATCACCAAGCACTAGCACCAATCACCAATCACCAATCACCAATCACCAATCACTCAATCACCACACCAATCACCAAATCACCAAGCACAAATCACCAAGTCACCAATCTCCAATGCACCAATCACCAAGCACCAACCACCATCACAATGCACAAATCACCAATCACCAAGCACCAATCACCAATCACCAATCACCAATCAACCAATCACCAATCACCAATCACCAAGCACCAATCACCAAGCACAAATGCACCAATCACCAAGCACCAAGCACCAATCACCAATGCACCAATGCACCAATCACCAAGCACCAAAGTCACCAAGCACCAATCACCAAGCACCAATCACCAATCACCAATCACCAATGCACCAATCACCAAGTCACCAATCACCAATCACCAATCACCAATCACCAATCACCAATCACCAATCACCAATCACCAAGCACCAATCACCAATCACCAAGCACAATCACCAATCACCAATCACCAATCACCAATCACCAATCACCAAGTCACCAATCACCAATCACCAATCACCAATCACCAATCACCAATCACCAATCACCAATCACCAAGTCACCAATCACCAAGCACCAATCACCAATCACCAATCACCAATCACCAAGCACCAATCACCAAGTCACCAATCACCAATCACCAATCACCAATCACCAATCACCAATCACCAAGTCACCAATGCACCAATCACCAATCACCAAGTCACCAATCACCAATCACCATCACAATCACCAATGCACCAATCACCAATCACCAATCACCAAGCACCAATCACCAATCACCAATCACCAATCACCAATCACCAATCACAAATCACCAATCACCATCACCAAACACCAAACACCAAGCACCAAGCACCAAGCACCAAGCACCAAGCACCAAGCACCAAGCACCAAGCACCAATCACCAATCACCAATCACCAAATGCACCAAGCACCAATGCACCAATCACCAAGCACCAAGCACCAATCACCAATCACAAATGCCCAATCACCAAGCACCAATCACCAATCACCAAGCACCAATCACCAATCACCAATCACCAAGCACCAAGCACCAATGCACCCAATCACCAATCACCAATCACCAATTCACCAAGCACCAAGCACCAATCACCAATCACCATCAGCACCAAGCTCAAGACCAATCACCAGCACCAATCCACCAAGTCACCAAGCACCAACCATGCACCAAGCACCAATCAACCAAGCACCATAGCAACACAGCACCAAATCAGCCAATGCACCAAGTCACCAAGCACCAAGCACCATAGCACCAAGCATCCAGGCACCAGTCACCTATCTCCAATCCAGCACCAAGCACCAAGATCTCAATACCACCTAGCACTACACACCAAGCACCTTCACCGATCCACAGCCACCATAGCACCAAGCTACATAGCAACAGCTACTCCCAGTCACCTAGCAGCAAGCTGCATCAAATCTACCAACTTAAAGAACCTCCTACCACTAACACCAGGCAACTCCCCACCTCCAAGTACCCCCTCACTTCTGCACGATATACCACATCGCCCATCGAATATCGTCAGAACATCCCACCCGAGAATATAACACCCCATTTGTATAATTTATTTGTAACTTCTGGAAATCGTTCTGACAATATAAACAGTAAATTAAAAAAAATTTTGTTTTTTGATATATATGATATATGATATTTATTTGATATTTGACATGGACATGGACATTTGACATTTGACATTTGATATTTGATATTTGATATTTGACATTGACATTGACATTGACATTGACATTGACATTTGACATTTGATATTTGATATTTGATATTTGATATTGATATTGACATTGACATTGACATTGACATTGACATTTGACATTTGACATTTGACATTTGACATTTGACATTTGACATTTGACATTTGACATTTGACATTTGACATTTGACATTTGACATTTGACATTTGACATTTGATATTTGATATTTGATATTTGATATTTGATATTTGATATTTGATATTTGATATTTGATATTTGATATTTGATATTTGATATTTGATATTTGATATTTGATATTTGATATTTGATATTTGATATTTGATATTTGATATTTGATATTTGATATTTGATATTTGATATTTGATATTTGATATTTGATATTTGATATTTGATATTTGATATTTGATATTTGATATTTGATATTTGATATTTGATATTTGATATTTGATATTTGATATTTGATATTTGATATTTGATATTTGATATTTGATATTTGATATTTGATATTTGATATTTGATATTTGATATTTGATATTTGATATTTGATATTTGATATTTGATATTTGATATTTGATATTTGATATTTGATATTTGATATTTGATATTTGATATTTGATATTTGATATTTGATATTTGATATTTGATATTTGATATTTGATATTTGATATTTGATATTTGATATTTGATATTTGATATTTGATATTTGATATTTGATATTTGATATTTGATATTTGATATTTGATATTTGATATTTGATATTTGATATTTGATATTTGATATTTGATATTTGATATTTGATATTTGATATTTGATATTTGATATTTGATATTTGATATTTGATATTTGATATTTGATATTTGATATTTGATATTTGATATTTGATATTTGATATTTGATATTTGATATTTGATATTTGATATTTGATATTTGATATTTGATATTTGATATTTGATATTTGATATTTGATATTTGATATTTGATATTTGATTTGATATTTGATATTTGATATTTGATATTTGATATTTGATATTTGATATTTGATATTTGATATTTGATATTTGATTAATTACTATTAAACTGGGAATAAGCCACAATTAAAGATAAAAATACGTTTATTGACGTTTCAATTTCCACTTCGGAAATTATTGACTACTAAAGCGATTCACACCGAATTAGCTAGCGAATTAACTTCAGAATGCTTCTTAAGCATCTTAAGACGTTTTGTTGCGAGACGAGGTCTATGCACTGAGTTGTACTCAGATAATGGTACAAATTTCACTGGAGCTAACAACGAGCTGCAAGGTATTTACAATGTGCTAAAAACAAATGCAATCCAAGCTTTTTCTCAAGAAAATAAAATAACGTGTCATTTCATTCCCGCTAGATCTCCGCACTTTGGAGGGCTATGGGAGAGTGCTATAAAATCAGTAAAAACTCATTTGCACCGTGTCATAAACGATGCCAATCCTTTATCCTATGAGGAATTGTATACTCTTTTAGTACAGATTGAAGGTGTGTTAAACTCTCGACCCTTGCTTCCTATGAGCAACGATCCCAATGATATGGAAGTACTGACTCCTGGCCATTTTCTCATTGGTCATCCGCTCAATATGGTTCCCGCTATAGACTACGAGAATTCGCCGATCAACCGGCTCACCCGATATGAGCTATTGCAGCGTATGTTACAGCATTTTTGGTCCCGGTGGAAAAATGAATACTTGCATACTCTGCAGCAACGAGCCAAGTGGAGATATAGCAAAGACACTGCCAGCTTACAAGGACGGATGGTGCTCCTGAAGGATGATGGTCTTCCGCCCTACCAATGGTCCCGTGGACGAGTAAGTGCTCTCCATCCTGGCAAAGACGGACTTGTGCGCGTTGTGAGTGTCTCTACCCCAAATGGAATTGTTAAACGTAGCGTTACTAAATTGTGTCCGTTACCTGATGAACAATAAATAGTCTTTCCTCGTTTACTGTAAATGAAACAACTAATTGTAAGGTTTTGTTTTTTTTTGTATGTAGCATGTTCATCTATATAAATATTGTATATTTCATTGTAATTCTGCAAGCAACAGCCTAAGCGAATCATTTTTAAATAATTAGTCACTCCCTTGCTTTATTGAAGTGTATCCCTACATAACTTCAAGGGCGGCGGTATGTTCGATCCTAATTTTATGTTTAACCTTGAGTGGACCGTTTTTAGTTTAAAAACTCGTTTTTTATTTCACGCGCTAAAAAAGAGTAGGTTTGCACTGAAAACAGGTGAGTTACCATAGCGACATAAAACTAGCAACATCAGTCAGAAAAAATATATACATTGTCACATTTTTACGAAGTTTTACGTTTCGCTTAGCGTTGTTGGGTGCTGATACAAATAAATGCAGTTTCGCAAATAAATAAACTTCAAATAGTCATTTTAATGTGAATTTTCCTACAGCCGATCCAATCGACAACAAAGATAGGACATCACAAAAAGTGCTCAAACGCCCGTTGGCTTTTTACAGTCCTCCAACAAAAAGGGCGAGAGCAAACATTGGTATATTAGAACGAGATCCTACAGCATACACAAGGAATAATATGAGGAAAATAACAATACCGTACATAAAAGGACTATCAGAAAAACTTAAAAGGATAGGAAATAAATTCAACATTTCAACAACATTCAAAACAACAAACACGTTGAGATCTATTTTGTCCAAAACCAAACCTAACAATGAACAAGAAAGGACAAAGAATTGCATTTATAAAATACCTTGTGAATGCGATCAGTTTTATTTAGGTGAATCATCAAGGCCATTAAATGTTAGAATAAGTGAACATCAATCTTATATTAAAAATAAAGAATTTGATAGATCTCAAATCTGTAAACACGCATGGGATAATGAACATAGGGTTCAATGGAGTAATTCAAATGTAGTCCTAAAAGAAACGGATGGTAAAAAAAGAAAAATCAAAGAAGCGGCTCTAATTATGTTAAATGAGGCCAATTGTGTCGCAAATTCTTCGGCAGAATGTAGTAGGATCTGGTTGCCAATATTGAAAGAAGAAGTTATTAATAAGAAAATACCAGTATTAGTAAGTCAGTAACATATAGAGGATACATCATTTATGTTTTTTAAATAACGTAACATATAAAATCAGAATTTTGATGTTTGTTGAAGGTAAACTAAATTCACGAACAAATACTTACAATGTCGGGATAGTATTATGAGGTTTTTTCCTGGTTTTCCCTCATAATTTACTATGGAATCACTAACAGGAGAATTTTACTGTCATCATGTCATGTGTTTGTCTTTTTAAAGACGAATTACATGCTATGATTTTTTCTGACGGATATTCTCAAGTTAAAGTTGATTTCATGTAATCGAATGAACTATCTTATAAGTAAAGTCGTCCCAGGAGCGCAACTCAACAATATTGGCAATATCATTTTAAAGTCGTCTACTTTAAAATGCATAATGTATGTCTGAATTGTCAATATAAATGAGTCAGATAAAATTAAATTATTAGAAGAATTTTTCACTATGTAACAAAAAACAAAATTTGTTTAATTTACTGTTTGTATTTTGAGAACGATTTCCGAAGTGGAAATTGAAACGTCAATAAACGTATTTTTATCTTTAATTGTGGCTTATTCCCAGTTTAATAGTAATTAATTTACAATGCCACAAGAAAATAGCTTCAGAACAATATTGATATTTGATATTTGATATTTGACATTTGACATTTGACATTTGACATTTGACATTTGACATTTGACATTTGACATTTGACATTTGACATTTGACATTTGACATTTGACATTTGACATTTGACATTTGACATTTGACATTTGACATTTGACATTTGACATTTGACATTTGACATTTGACATTTGACATTTGACATTTGACATTTGACATTTGACATTTGACATTTGACATTTGACATTTGACATTTGACATTTGACATTTGCTATTTGCTATTTGCTATTTGCTATTTGCTATTTGCTATTTGCTATTTGCTATTTGCTATTTGCTATTTGCTATTTGCTATTTGCTATTTGCTATTTGCTATTTGCTATTTGCTATTTGCTATTTGCTATTTGCTATTTGCTATTTGCTATTTGCTATTTGCTATTTGCTATTTGCTATTTGCTATTTGCTATTTGCTATTTGCTATTTGCTATTTGCTATTTGCTATTTGCTATTTGCTATTTGCTATTTGCTATTTGCTATTTGCTATTTGCTATTTGCTATTTGCTATTTGCTATTTGCTATTTGCTATTTGCTATTTGCTATTTGCTATTTGCTATTTGCTATTTGCTATTTGCTATTTGCTATTTGCTATTTGCTATTTGCTATTTGCTATTTGCTATTTGCTATTTGCTATTTGCTATTTGCTATTTGCTATTTGCTATTTGCTATTTGCTATTTGCTATTTGCTATTTGCTATTTGCTATTTGCTATTTGCTATTTGCTATTT